TGTTCGTTGGAAGAGGGGTAGTCTTATACGGCGAGTATATCCCAAACTCTATATTTTAACTGGAAAAGTTGGGGGTCGTCTTATACGCCCAGTCGTCTTATACGCCGGAAAATACGGTAATTCTCAACGCTCTACATCTGCAAGTGTAGCCATACCTTAAGAATCGGGACAGTGGACTAACTGGAGCACTACTCTGATGCAGCATGGCAATTCCTGTGCTGTGGTTCTGTGTATGGAGGGGCAAGAACACACTGAATGGCTTCTATCCACATTAGTGCAGGATGATGCAAGACCAGGTTATCTGCCATGTCAAAAAATCACCAAAGGGATAGAGGAGCCAGCTATAACTACAACCTATGTACAGCAGTGGCAACAAAGTGACTGCACTCTTCACGAGGCTTCCTTTCTCCTTAACCTGATTGAGACCTTCTGTGTAAAGGCCATTTACTTGTTGTTCTGGGGAAAAGGAGAGACACCATTTAATCCATGCATTGTAACTGCCACAGAAAACTTCTACAATCTTCAAACTGATCCTGTAACCTCTGAAGGACTCACAGACGTATCTAGATCTCTACAACATTCAGAGATCCCGTTCCTCACAAGTAACTAACAACCTTTCAGTTGTCAATGAAATAGTTAGAAAACGTGGTTTTAAATAAAATATTAGCCCTGTCTTCATGGAGGACTAAATGCATGAGAAATCCAATACCTTAAAATCAGCTCTTTTTTAAGTTAGAGAAAAAAAGTTATGTTTATTTAAAATGCTAAGTTTCCAATACTCTGTAACTAAAAGCCTGCTTACCCAACATGCATGTGAATGTTAAAAAACAAAATTCTCTTCTGATCTGAAATGAACAATTTTTAGGCCAAAGAGGAGATGTTTCTGACAAAGTTAAAAGGGGAGTCAAAGTGGAGCTTAGAATGCAATGGGTCTTTCCACTTTCATTCTACTATATGAATGCTTATTTCAATGTAAGGCTAGCGAATTCATACAAACCTATGCAGCTGATATCCTACAGTAAATGTGCAAGGCATAATACGAACCACCAGAGGGCTACACTATCTTTGCCAGTTCTTTGCTAACTAAAACAAAGTTAAACAATACAGGAATTGTTAGAAGCAAACCATAATGGTCTTTTCAGTATTGGCATGACTACAGAGCTGAAGGGACAGTATACTAACTGGGCAACACAACTTATTTTTATATTCCTAGATCTTGTAAAAGGAGAAATTATGAATGACTTTTACCATCCAAAAATAGATCCTTGTTATTCAGTAAACTAGAATTGTTCATTTTCTCTTCCTTTAAACAACTACTCCAACCAACCACTCACCACCTGAAAGGTATAATCATTTGTGAGTAAACTATGCGGTCCAACAGGTTTCCCATGTATTTATGAACTCAGACTGAGGGTAACTGGCCCACCTGTTCTCCCTGTTCTCGTGGACTAGAGGTTGCAGGCTGCTGGGACTGCTGCTGTGGGGAGAACTGAGAGAGCTGCTGCTGCTGCTGCTGCTGAAGTGGGTTGAAAATAAGTGAGCCACCAGGAAGCTGTTCCAGATTAAAAACAAAAGACATAATTCAATCACATTCATGAGCCTGCCAGACTCCAGGGATGAGCGCAAATAAAGATCTAGATATTAAATTACTTCTTGCAGATATTTTAAAAATGCTGCTGTTTTTGAAAAGGCCTCATTTTTCAGAAATAGTCTGCATAAGTTGTAGCCCTAGATTCCTAGGGAGAAAAGTATATTATTATCATTGTTCTATTTCAATACAATTGTGCAGATTTTACACATTGCTAATAAAAATGTAGGTTAATGGATCCCTGTAACATCAGAATACTTCATTAATTCCATGTTTAAACCATTTTATTTTATTTGGATGAAGGCTTCCTAGTAGTAAATTGTGGAGAATCTGATGCAACAGATATTAATTAAATATGGGGCCTGTTTCCTCTTGCTTACACCAGTTTTACCAACTGCACTGATTTCAACTGAATTATTCTTGATTTATAACAGTGTAAGAGAGGAGATTCAAGAGCATAGCCTGAAATGACAGCGTTAGGTTGTCACTAATATCTTCATAATCTCTCTCTCTCTCTCTCTCTCTCTCTCTCTCTCTCTACACACACACACACACACACACACACACACGAACTGTTACTGCAATATGAAGGTTACACAATTAAACTCAAGGAAGACAAGAAATGTAAAAAAGTTAAGATTCCAAGAGCAATGTTAAATTAGCATACTAAATCCTCCATGGTTTATAATGGGTCGGCAACGTTCGGCACGCGGCTCGCCAGAGCAAGCACCCTGGCGGGCCGGGCCAGTTTTAATTACCTGCTGATGCGACAGGTTTGGCCGATTGCAGCCCCCACTGGCCGCGGTTTGCCATCCCGGGCCAATGGGGGCGGCGAGAAGCCGTGGCCAGCACATCGCTCGCCCGCGTCCGTCTCGCCGCCCCCATTGGCCCGGGATGGCGAACCACGGCCAGTGGGGGCCGCGATCGGCCGAACCTGCCACGTCAGCAGGTAAATAAAACTGGCCCGGCCCGCCGGAGTGCTTACCCTGGCGAGCCGCGTGCCGAACATTGCCGACCCCTGGTTTATAATATATATTTTAGAACAAACAGGGAGGGATAGCTCAGTGGTTTGAGCATTAGCCTGCTAAACCCAGGGTTATGAGTTCAATCCTTGAAGGGACCACTTAGGGATCTATGGCAAAATCAGTACTTGGTCCTGCCTAGTAAAGGCAGGGGGCTGGACTCGATGACCTTTCAAGGTCCCTTCCAGTTCTAGGAGATAATTATAATTAATGGAGATATCCTATTATTATAAGCTGCACATTTAACCAGGACTTGAAGAGTCCATATACAGATATAAATTTGACTTGTGCATTTGTGAACTGCATTGAGTTTAACTGCGCAACCTGACTCTTAATTTACATTTACATTTCATTTCCTAGTGCCACATCCTCTAGTCTACTAAATCCACTATATTCTGTATAAGTGGCATAAAGTGGACTTAAAACAGCTGACTACAGTCAATGGAGAATTCCCGCCTCGGCAGAGGAACTCTCCTCTGACACAGCTGTCTCCTGTGCCAGCCACACCCCATGCTCCTGGCAGCAGGGAGTACAGGAAAGCAGCGTGGGGGATCAATCCTACTCTGATGTAAGGTTCCTGAAGGATCTTGCACCACTGGTGTAATTTAGAGCTGCTCCTTTGCAGCTCTAACTTGTGCTGGGCCTGATAGCTGCCCCCGACCCCGCCCTGCATTTGATCAGAGCTCAGATGCAATCAAGAAATCTCCCCCTTGGGTTTTATTTTTTGTTTATTCAGAGTTTGTAAACTCCTTGTCTAGAACTATTTGTGTTGCCTAGCTTTCTATTTCTGATAGTAGAGACTGCAAGTTCCTTGTATCAATTAGTAACCCAGCTGCACATGCATAGTTCATCGTTCTTAAGACCTATGCTGGTTAATTTACAGGGGATTTCTATTGCACTGTTAATTTTGCAGTTTTCAAACAATCATAACTAAAAATGAAAACAACTACTTTTCAGTGAAAGCAAAAACAAAAGCTTAAAAATTGATTTTTTTTTATGCAATTAGCCACTTGAATTCAAGTTTAAATTTCACTATTTCTACAGCTTATTTTATGTCATTCAAGACTGGTTGATTTGTTAGTGGGGAAAGGATGGCCTCCGGTTTGCTGTTCTATAGACTGATTTTAGTTATCATTTAAGGCACCTATTCTCTTAGTACAGACCTTTTCTTGTCTTATGCATTCAAATTAAAATAATAAAATGAAACACTTTCAATAAATGGCATGTCTCGGACCACCTGGCTCCAAGGAGCTGGAGGTCTATGTGACCAAAAGCACTAATCAACACATCTATATAGAATTATGCAAACAATTATTAATGTGTCCAAATACATTAATTACCTGTAGTAGATTTAAGGGCCGAAGACCTGAAGCATTTTTTAAACCAAAAGGGCTGCCTGTTAATTAAAAGTAGGCAACCATTACTTAGTTAGATGCACATCATCAAATCAAATACATCACACCACACCATGCCAATGGGATTATTTCTAAATACTCCAAGCTTGCAGCATGGCAAGGTTAAGTTTTATACTTTAGCAGAATATTGTATTTTCTCTGTAGAACTGTAAATTGCACGATTATCTAGACGCAGCTCAGGGGAACAGACTGATTAGAAAGGAAGTTCTACCAGTATTAAACATGGTACATTGCAAATACTACTACTGTGTTTGGACAAGATAAAGTATGCAGAGAGCATCCTCCCAGATGTTCTGTAGTTCTTCCTCTATTTTTAAAATACATTACAGTTTGCATCCCACACATGGATATGTCTGGAATCCCAATGAAACAGCAGTTACTGATAGCTGCATTAGAGAAAGGAAAATATTGAAATGCTGCAAATTATAATGGCTTTTTTTTTTTAAGATCTCCAAGTCCAAAAGCATTTCTGAGAGGATAAACATCTAACAAACATTAGGTGTTTTTCTGTCCTGTTTTCAAAAAGGTTGGAGCCTAAGAACTTAAACACTTCTCATTTATGAATGTTGAAGCATATTGATTTCTACCGTAATATTTTATGGCAGCTAAGAAGCTAAAAACATACCTAGATTAAAACACAGTCTAGTAAAAGAATAAGGGCCTGAAGCACTGAAGTGTGGGTCCTCTTCCTAAATTCTGGGATGTTTTCATATTTTACTTTTCTTCTAGTAGTGATGATTGCCATAGTCACTTCTGAACTTGCAACGTAACCTACCTCAGAAACTCCCCCTGATGGGTGATCCAAATGTATAACCAGATATATAATACATCTCCCTAACCTAACCTAGGGTTGCCAGGTGTCCAGTTTTCGACTGGAACGCCCGGTCAAAAAGGGACCCTGGTGACTCCAGTCAGCACCGCGGAGCTAAGGCAGGCTTCCTGCCTGCCATAGCGCCGCGCGGCTCCCGGAAGCAGAGGCATGTCCCCGCTCAGGGCTCCTAGGCGTAGAGGCAGCGAGGGGCTCCTTGCACTGCCCTCACTCCAAGCACCAGCTCCGCAGCGCCCACTAGCCAGGAACTGCGGCCAATGGGAGCTCGAGGGCGGTGCCAGAGGGTGGGCTGCACACAGCTGCCTGGCCATACCTTGGAATAGGAGCCGGAGGGGGGACATTCCGCTGCTTCCGGAAGCCACCTGAGGTAAGCGCCGCCCGAAGCCTGCACCCACTCCTGTGCCTCAACCCTCTGTCCCAGCCCTGATCCCCCTCCCACCCTCCGTACCCCTCAATCCCAGCCCAGAGCACCCTCCTGCACCCTTAACCCCTCATCCCCAGCCCCCGCACTCCCAACCAGAGCCCTCACTCCCTGGCGCCCCAACTCCCTGCCCTAATCCCCCTCCCACCCTCCGAACTCCTCATCCCAGCCCGGAGCACCCTCCTACACACCAAACCCCTTATCCCCAGCCACACCTCAGAACCTGCACCCCCAGTCAGAGCCCTCACATCCCCCTGCACTAGCCTGGAGCCCCCTCCTGCACTCCGAACCCTGCAGCCCCAGCCCAGTGCCCCCTCCTGCACCCTGAACTCCTCATTTCTGACCCCACCCTGGAGCCCGCACCCCCAGCCAGAGCCCTCACTCCTCCCGCACCCCAACCCCTGGAGCCAGCCTGGTGAAAATGAGTGAGAGACTGAGGGTGGGGACAGCAAGCGACAGAGGGAGGGGGGATGGAGTGAGCAGGGGCGTGGCCTTGAAGAAGGGTTGGGGCCTCGGATGAGGGGCAGGGCAAGAGTGTTCGTTATTGTGCAAGTAGAAAGTTAGCAACCCTAACCTAGCCCCTTAAAATAACTACTTCAGACACACTCAACCTCAGCTGACCTGGGGACTAAGAATGTAGAGATCATCCCCAAATTCAGTAAGCCTGCATCCTAAAGGGACTTAGGTGCCAGATGCTCAGATTTAGGTGCCACAGCAATCTACAACACCAGCCCCCCTCAGCTGCCATCTAAACGTAAAAGTTGCCTAGGCATCTAAGTTTCTGCCTCTGGTCATGCGCACCTCACATATGTTGCACACCTCTGCCCCAGTGTGATCTGCAAACCAGGAAAAGAGAGGCAAGCAAATGCCTATCTTGCCTTTGGGCCTGATCCAAACATACTCCAAACACACCTGCCGGATCAGGCTCCATTCAAAATCCAGCAGTGGCAGGGCCACCTCACTTATAACTTCTAACACAGTGGTCTGAGCACTCACCTGAATGTGGGAGACCTAGGTTCATTCTCCCCTCTGCCTGAGGGCTAGAAAATATTTGAACACGGGTTTCCCACCTCTCAGGAGAGTGCTCGAACCGCTGAGCTGTGTTATTCTGATGTGGGCTCACCCTCAGTCTCTCCAGTTGAGGCTGTTCACTTTGGATAAATAGTCATTGGGCCAGAGAGAGAATGACCCTACAGCCTGGCAGATAGCACACTTACCTGGGTCCAGTCCCCATGCTCCAATGACTTTATAATTATTCATCCACAGTGAAACAGCTTTGACAGAGAGACTAAGGCAGACCCATAGCAGAAGGTCCCAAAGCCTAGTGGTTAAGGACATGGAAGACCCCTCTTCAAATCCTTTCTCCCCATCAGTTGGGATGGGAATTGAATCTGGATCTCCCACATTCGGGATGAGTGCTGTCTCCACTGGGCTACCACCTCTTTCTATCTCTAGGGAGGGGTTTAAGACAAACTCCTCTCATCAGAATCTCCCATTGGCTAGTTAGACAGCTCCCCATCTAGTATGCCGGCTTTTGTGGATCCCATTCTTAGGCAGTTATTTCCCCCCCCCCCTGCTTCATTGCATAGGGAGTCTAGGTGCCTAACTTAGGCCTTGTGGATGCCAATGTTGTTCTTGTGATTTTTCTAGGCACCTGAGTGTTGCAATGCCTAAGTCCCTTTGTGGATTCAAGCCTGAATGTACACACTATCCATTCACTGGCGCACACAAATTCTTGTTGAACTCTTCTGCCCACTGTGGTTAAAGGGCTCTTGCTATTTAACCTGATCTGAATGTTCCTCGTGACAGCTTTTTAGCTGATTCATACTAACCTGCTTGAGAGGCAGACTGCACTGCAGCTGGCAGTGCACTTGGCACCAGACCTCCTGATGGTAAAATGCCACTCAGATTTATACCTGCAGGGGTTATGGCACCAGTATTACACCCCAGCATGGGGTTTGAGCCACTCATCAATGTCTGTGCTCCACTGTAGAAGAGGAAAGAAAACACATTAAATCCAAGTGGCACAAATGTATGTGAACAACTAGATTTTTGCCTTCCAGTCTTTAACAACACAATCAACAGTTCACTCTAAATGAGGTTATATTTAAGGTGACTGATCAGAACAACATTTATAGTCACCCTATTGATTAATTCATCACAAACTAACATTAAATGAATGTTACAGCTGAGTGTGAAACATGCTACGTGTTCTCCACAACCCAGACATTTAGAAAAACACATAAAGGAGTATCATAAAGTACCTAGGATTTGGAATATATAGGTCCATATCCTACCCTCCTTCTGTGTACACAACTCACTGTGATATCAATGATCACAGGAAGAATAAAGTGTACAGGTTCTTTTATTCTAAGCCTGCAGTGTTTCCAAATACAAAGACTAACACAACCTTAAATACAGCAGCACTGACAGGACGTAAAAGCTGGAAAGTAGGCTCATGTTTTCCTTCAGCAACTTGAAAAAATCTGTTTAATGGATTTGGAGTGATGAGTTGCTGCGGGAGAGTTCAGATGAGTAATTCACACATCTGACATTGTTAGGGTGCACTCTGTGTTTTACACAGCAAATAGCAAAAGCTACTTTAAGTTAATAGAAATCTAACTTGGTAATAACAGAATAAATTCCACTGTTGGCAGAAGTGCTTTTAAAAAATACAGAATAATATTTAAGTCTCAGAATAAGTGTAAAAATGCTTAATAAAGTCAAGTACTCATAAATCAGATTCACTGACGTTCCATTTAATAGGCAACAGGTTTAAAACAAACAAAAAGAAGTATTTTTTCACACAACGCAGTCAACCTGTTGACCTCTTTGCCAGAGGATGTTGTGAAGGCCAAGACTATAACAGTGTTCAAAAAAGAACTAGATAAATTTATGGAGGATAGGTCCATCAATGGCTATTAGCCAGGATGGTCAGGGATGGTATCCCTAGCCTCTGTTTGCCAGAAGCTGAGAATGGGCGACAGGGAATGGATTACGTGATGATTACCTGTTCTCTTCATTTCCTCTGGGGCACCTGGCATTGGCCACTGTCGGAAGACAGGGATACTGGGCTAGATGGACCTTTGGTCTGACCCAGTATGGCCATTCTTAAGTTCTTATTATAAACATTTTACACAGTGTTTCACTCACAGGGGCTTTTACACAGAATTTTGTCTGATTATTTTTAATTTGGAATGGTTTGCATATTCCATCTCCTCTCTCATAACGATTAATAAAAAAATAACATTCAAGTGGAAAAATTGTAAGAACAAAATCTCAAGAGCTATCATAGTTTTTGTAGCTAGGTAAGTTCTAGTGTAATTAAACCCTATACATCTTAAAAACTCAAAGTACACAGTTCAGTGGTTCTCATTCAACTTCATCAGCATTCAAATACTGGGTTTCTTCTGTTTGAACACCTCATAAAACTGCATTAACTGAATTATGCCATTACCTGGTACATTTCCGTTGGACATTTTGAAAAAAACCTGGCTTAATGAATATTGAACATTTCTGTAAATCAACATAAGGTAGGTTGTTAAGAAGCCATTAAAAATAAAGTGAACTTACCACACAGAGCCCACTACATTGATGAAGTTAAGTCCTGCAGGGTTTGCCATGACCTGGGTGGAGGTGGTTCCTGTAGTAATGGATGTTACCATGGTGGAAAGAGGAATGGTCATTACAGGCAATGCCTGGCTCAGAGACATTTGCTGCTGAGCAAACGGGGTTAACAAAGTGGGCTGAGGGGTGAAGCCTGAATCTTGGGGAGTAGGGGTGGCAGAAGGGGTAATAGGAGTTGAGCTCTGAGCGTCAGGAGGGTGTGGGGTCGATGAAGGGGTGTTGGTTGGAGTAGGAGTAGATGGTTTAGGAGTTCCAGACCCTGCTCATTGAGAAAAATAAAAAGTGCTAGTTTGTTATAAAAGGCCAGTCCTTTTGTAAAATAAGGTTAATGGAATCTTATTTAGCACTGACAATTTGTTCCAGTTTTTTAAAGCAGTAAACTGCAAGTGTTAATTTCTACCCATGACACACGAGTGTTGCTGCACTCGCTCATTATTAAAGATGCAGTATATCACACAGAAACCCCATTGCCATGCTTAACTCTTTAACCAAAACATAAATTTGTATCGTCCATTAAGCCCTTTTAAAATTTATAGTGCACTAAATCATGACTGTTGGAAATATTTTTAAGTCAATGTAGTACAATTTTTCTGAGTGATCATTTTAACCCAGTTAATGGTTTTGATTCTAAAATGTCAAATATATAGGCTGTATGTACTGTCTGTATAACAGCATCATGCTAAAACATATGGAAAACAACAGATTCAACAAAGAACAGACAGTTTCAGTGATCAAATGGGGTCAAAGGTAACCATCTAAATTCTATTAAATAGATATCAATAACTGTATTTGCCAGATTTCAGTCAAATCACAAAAGAGAAAATAAAGTAAATGCTTTTTGCAGGAGATAATACTGCATCTTTAAAAGTTACTGTGTAATTCCTTCTGCTTAAATGTAGAATGTATAGATAAATTTGTTGTGAATGCAGTATGCACAGTTTAACAATAGAAAAAAACAAAAAACAGAAAAAGTAAAAAAACCAAAAGCTCTTGAGGTGTTCTCTTTTTTAGCTTTCATGTCCTGCAGAAAGAAAGGAAAGAAATGTGAATGTCCAAAAGCTGTGACCAGAGCTTTACTTACAGTAACAACTGTGTGCAGTAGATTTACATAATCCATACCAGCAACATAAAAAAGTGTGAATAGAACTGTTAGAAAATTTACAAAATCTTTCTTATGTTTTTCTTTGTGCAAAACAAGAAGGCAGAAAAATTACACCTTTTGAGCTATTCAGAAGATTTTAAACTATTTAATGCAAAAAACATAGTATATCACTGTGCAGCATACGGAAATGTTCAGTGTGCAATTATTCATAAAAAAATGGAAAACTATAGCTGTGGTTTCTTTCGCTGTACAAATCTGTTCATGAAAGGCCTCAAGACGCATATTTTAAAAATTGTTTATGATCTATAATTACAATAATCCTGTCATTAATTAAAAAAAAAATCAAACTTAGATGTCACTCATTTTAGAAAATTACATTTTAACACCTTACATTATGGTGCTATAATAATCATTATTACACTTTAGTAATCAGCAATGATTTGTAAAACAGTGTTGGAGTGTTGTAAAAAATCATCTCATAGTTTATTGTATTGCCACCTTGGGACTGATCAGGTTATATACATACATAGAGATACAACTGTACCAGCTCCTATGACATTTAAAAAGAATCAGTTGCTTAAATTATGTAAATGCAAATTGGTCTCATATACTGTTATTTTTACACTGGAGGAAAGAACCACACTTTGGAATCTCATATTGTCACATTAGCTATCAGGCTTTTTAAAAAAAGAGAATCATACTGGTCGCATAAAATGTATTAAAACGTATACACAAAGGGTGCATACATATATAGATACAGAAAAACAAACACAATTACAGTAAACATAAAATACATACAGTCAACAAGAGACCTGCCTGAAGCTTTCCACAACGTATACAATTTAGAGTACACTGTACATTTAAGTTTCACCATTCCACTGGTTAAGTTTATCTCAAGACATTATGCAAAAGCCTAAGATTTAATGGAGAATTTAGTTCGTGACTCACTTTGTGAAGAGCTCGCAGGAGACATGGCAGCTGGAGAAAGCATGCTAACTTGACTAAGATCCATAGACTGTTTCCGAGAAAGACTGGGAGGCTTAGAAGGAGGAGGAGGAGTTGGGGATTTTAGGTGGCCACTTGACTGCTGTGGACTAAAAATATTACCTGAAAAAGCACAATTAACACACGTTATGGTTCTGTGGAGGGATGTTAGTCAGAATATTTTCCATTATATACATCCTTGAACAATACTGTTTAATCAGAAAGCAGTAAGATCAGCTTTGAAAAACGCTCTCCATGACCTATAGAGGTAAAGTTTTTCCATTATATTTAAAATTATTACTTTAAGTAGTTAAACCTCACACTTCAAAATAAGGGAAACAGACAGAAGGAGGGAGAGGATAAAAAGCTAAAAAGTATTTACCTGAAGAACTACTTCCTGAACTTGAAGGTAGTTTGATGGGAGGAGGTCGATGTTTTACACCTTTCCCCAATACTGAAGACTGCACAGACCCTGATAGACTCTCTGGCTGCTAAGAAGAAACAGAAATTCAAGATATATTATTCCAATATGAGATCACATCATACATGCTAGAAATAAGTAACTATTAAATTAAAGCATTTCTATTGGAATTCTAAAATAAAGCAATTTTCAGGAAGTGGTCTCCCTTTGTGGGAGACATTAGAAACACAATCTGTGATACTTTTCAGATGCAGTTTTTTCCAGGAGAGGCCTCCAAACCGGTGGCAAAATTAAAATAAAACAAACAATGGGAATTATATTGCTTCATTCCCTATCCTGAATTCATTGCTAATGACATCCCAGGAGTAGAAGAATGACAGACATACTCTTGAAAGAAAGGAAAACTTTGTCTTACCGATAAATTTGTCTGTCAATCCTGACCCACTCGGGATTCAGGGTACAGAATCAGAGTATGGGAACAGGAATATAAATACTTGGGTGAAATCCTGGCTCCACTGAAATTGATGGAAGTTTTGCCATGATTGCACCATTATATTTAGAATGAAGGTATTCTGCTTTTTGTTTTACCAATTATGAACAGAATTTTTTAAGATGAATTAATAAAGTTCAAGTATTGCCTTACAGCTATTCAAATATGTAGTCCTGAATTACAAATGGCAGGCTACCTAGAAGTTGGCTGTAATTGCCTCTAGATCCATGCAACTACTAGTTCAGATTGTCAGACAACCTGTTTCAGGGAAAATAAATTTACAGGTAAAGGCCAAATATTTAATTTACATGCGTGGAGTATAAATTCAGAATAAAAGAAGTATTATAAACATAGTGTCTGTGCTTTCAGGTTCAGGGAGATGACAGAACACACAGAAGACAATATCAGATATACAACTTCAAAAACTCAATTTATTATTTGCATATTTATTTTTATTATTCTTAATAAAATTAGTGCTTGATATTTTCCCTCCCTGTCAAAGGAGTCAAAAGACTGTGACAGAGGAAATTAAGTCAGCCTTCATCAGTGCCCTAGAAAAAACACCTGGTTAACTTTAACAATAAAATTAACCACATCACTAAAAAAAGTTAGAAGAGTAATTTCAAAAGTTTTCTTAGCTGAATTATGGTTCCTCTGAAGTTCTTTTCAAGTTGGGCACACATGCTAAGAGCTGATGCTTAGCTCTTTGTATTTTACAGAGTATACAATTCTGTGGTCTTTAATGGCTCTGAAAAGCAATCAGACACTATTCTCCTTTTATGCGCTTCTATTTTTTTCTTTAAAAATCCTTTAAGTTCCAGTTGATGATAACCCTAAAGACTTAGTTTTTATTTTTACTTTTTCAAACTCTTTCTTCACTACTCAAGATAACTGCTTTACCATCCATAGAGGATTAGATAGTCAAAAAAGAATGTGATCCGTTGCTTCCTTGCTATGACTCTGCTGACTCCGGCAGAACTTTGTTCATGGCTAGCAAACTGGACAGCTTTATTTATCTATTTAAAAAGAAGGGATGCCATAGGGGAGAACATAGATAGCCAGGAGGAAAGGACCAGCAAAGCAGCAAATGCTAACTGAGGTTAAAAAAAGAACTAGAGTAGTGGGATCAATCTAAAATGCTCAGCAGAGATAACAAAACAGATGGCCTGAGGGGTCCATCAGCACCAAACTTTCAGCTACGGGAATTCCTGCCAGACATGCACAGAGGAATACATTCCAAGAGCATGTATCCCTTAGAACAGGCGTAGGCAACCTATGGGACACGTGCCAAAGGTGGCATGTGAGCTGATTTTCAGTGGCACTCACACTGTCCGGGTCCTGGCCACCAGTCTGGGGGGCTCTGCATTTTAATTTAATTTTAAATGAAGCTTCTTAAACATTTTAAAAATCTTATTTACTTTACATACAACAATAGTTTAGTTATATATTATAGACTTATAGAAAGAGACCTTCTAAAAACGTTAAAATGTATTACTGGCATGCAAAACCTTAAATTAGAGTGAATAAATAAAGACTCGGCACACTCCTTCTGAAAGGTTGCCGACCCCCTGCCTTAGAAGGATGTTGTCATTTTGAAATCTAATAAAAAAAATCTCCAAACCATTTTTATGACGAGTTAACAGTTCAGGCATTATGCCTGCCTCCAAGTTCCCTTGCCAATTTTTAGATTGGTTTTAGAACTGTATTTTCCTGTCTTTAAAAATGCTTTTCTCTGCTCTGCTGCTATATGAAAGACCTTGATGAACTGAAAAAATGGACTATACATAGCATTATCAAAGACACATTTAAAAAAAAAGAAAAATCTGAGAAAAGCATTTTTCTCTAATTTCTTCCATTACAGACTTGTAATAATAGTAGGTTTAAAAACTTCAGACAGATGTTTGTCCTTTGAGTCCCTTTAGGGAACTGTAATTACTCAATAAGCAATTGTAAATGTAAGAAACATTGAGCAAACTCACTTCCATTTCCTTCCCTGGAGAAAGATGACTTAGGTTGACTGATCCACCTGAATTATGAACCATCTTCACTGGACATTTAGCTTCACTTTGAACTAGTTCCTGGTATTGGTTCACTACCCTGAAATACACCACTAAAGACTTCAGCACAGGATTTGAAAAAGGATTAACAATTTTGCACTATTTTTAACATTATACTGTTTGTTCTAGATGTAGATTAACTTTATTATATTCTAAATTTTCTTTGCCTACTTACTACTGTTTCACTATTCTGAAATGCAAACTGCAAGCACTTAGATAAAATGGTTTGAATTGTGATTCGGTTTTACTTTAAACTTCAGTAAATTGATCTGCAACATAATAACATTGTATAGAAATATGAACTCCCTTACAGAGACAGCTGATAGAAAAAATTAAAATATTGTGGTATCAGTTTGAAGAATAAAATATCCACTTGTGTGCAGCAGTGCTTCTCAACCAGTGGGTTGCGATCCTCAGTGAGGATACCAAAGGCAATCAGGGCTGTTGCGAGCCACTGAAAATCCCATTACACTCTAAAGCAAAGACAATCTCTCTCCAGTACTGCCATGACACCTTTACCCCTCAAGGTCAAGTATGCGGTCAGTCTTCTTGAAACACAAATAAATTATATAGGCTTATCATTGTTACATTTTTCACTCCTACTTTTATAATAAATGTAAGGGGGTTGTGAAATTTTTTGACTTTGAACTAGGGGTTACCATCCTGAAAAGGTTGAGAAACGTAAGTCTGGAGAAATCCACTGAGTATGGGAGAAGTCTACTTTATGTTTTATAATGAACCACAGCAGACAACCGTAAACCTTCTATAGCTAAAATATATTGGGGGGACTATTTTTCTTCTTGCTCTAGGAGTGATAGAATACTTATCACAATGCTAAATCAATATTGCCTGAATAAAAAATATTCAACTGAGAAGAAGTTTGACACTACAGTTAAAGTTCAAAAGAACCACTCTCTTTAAAGCTATACTTGATAGCAAATTTACTTGTACAAAGTCTCACAGCCAAACTCTTCTCTTGAATGCTCTTGCCAGACTAGTGCTGATGGGTTCATCCAAAGGCACAGTATGGTCTTCAGAATTTAACAGAAAAATGGGACAAGCTGTGTGGAGTTACTCTCTTTCCCCCACCCTTCCCACAAATGTAAAGTGCAAGAGATGCAACGTTTTTAGTCTTGTTGCAGATCTTGACTGTTTCTATTTAATATCCATATCACATGCCATTGCTTCCATGGTAATGAAAGTAAGGTACATTATGGCTGAAACGGACAAACTCGGGCTGTAAAAAAAGAAAGATATGAACTACTTACCTTTCAGCATCAGTCTTGGAACCAATAAGGAACCTAAATGTAAAACATAAAACAATGTAGTTATTATTTTTGGAATTCAAAAGCTTTCCTCAAAGATCACAACTCTGAAAAACAGCAAATAAACCACTCTCTTTTGGAACGGGACTCTCTGCTGCCAGCTAATTGATGAGAACAGTTAACACTTAAGTCTTACTTGGTGGGCTGGAGACTTCGGAAAGTATAAAACACTAACCCTGCTTCATAATCACTAATAGAATATATTTAGAGGGACACAATTAAGGTTGACAAGAATTTGGGGGTTTTATTGTGATACCGTCCCTTTAAAAGTGAATCTACACCAATGTAAAAGACAAAATAATACTAGTTTTATATATACCTAAAAACAGGAAGTGGCAGTTTGCTATAGATTCTATGCTGTTAAAAGTAGCATTGCATATTGTTTGTATTAAGCACTATGGCATTATATATTTGGTTTACCATTTAGTAAACAAATGTAACAATTTGCTCATATAAGGAAAAAATGTAAGAGCTCCAGCAATTAGCTATTCATATTGCTAAGAAAGAAGGATTCAGTCTGAAGTAAATATATTTTAAAAATAGAACATGAAATCTGTTTCACTAATATCATTTTAATGTAATACCCATACCCCTTAAAGGAAGTTTTTTGGTCCAATTCAGACCAATTTAGGAAATTAGCATGGAAATTATAACCAATATAAATCAAGGATTACAGATCTCCCAGGTTTTTCCCAGTAATCTACTATTTTTTCTCTCTTTGTACAGTTCTCCTGGGAAATATGACCAATCTATTGCTTCTTCTGGCTCATGCAGATTCATGGTGTGGAGAGGATTTCAGATGCAATGAGAGTGTGATTTGGGTATATGTCAAGAAACACCAAAGCACTAGAATGTTAAAAGAAATGTTTAGTTTTCCTGATTTCTCTCATTATTTATCTTTCCCAATCATGCTTTCTCACAAGATGTAGCTCTAAATAAATATTTCTAGTTTGTTAATCACGTTCACATTTTACTGAAAAATTTATCTCATTCCATTCAGATAAGAAATTTGCAATGAGAATTGTTAGGGTTAATTCAGAATTATTCATGTTGTTTCCATGGATTCAAAAAGCAAACTACTTTACAGGAAAATAAGGGGAATACATTTTTTGCATCCCTGACTTTTGAGGCTGGAATTTTCAAATGGAGCCAAAGAGACTTAGGGAACCAAATCCGAATAAATTCTAAATTAACTTTTAATAATAATTATAAATAGTTTAAATAAATAGTATAAATAGTTTATTTACTAAACTAATAGTTTACTATATTATAGTATAAATAAAAATTAAATAATAAATAAATTATTAAATTAACATTGTGCACCAAACTGGTATTTTCAAAGGAGCCAATTTCAATCAAAAATTCCCTTAGGTGCCTTTGAAAATTCCAGTTCCAGTGCACAACCTTTAGTGACTTCTTAAGATTAGCACAGAGCTCTATAAAATAAATGGGCATAGATGGAGACAAGGGTTAAAAATAACTAAAACTTGGCAGTATGAAATGGTTAAAATTAAAAAGTAAAAGAGAAGGATTAAACACTAGGTAACTATACAAAATAGTAGCAGTTAACAAAACCTGATCCTGCTAGCTGCTTTGTGCAAGTGGGCAGACCCTTACATCCCATTGAAATCAATGGAAGTCTGCGCAGGTGCAGGGTCGAAGTATCCAGAGCACCTTGCAAGATTGGAGCCTAAAATAAGAACTAACAACGGGTAGGTAAAGGGACAGCTGCAGCCAGCTATATATAGTCAATATATTTTAAAACAGAATTATGAACATATGTACCAGTCATCATCCTTGTTCGTGATTGTAAACTCTTTGGATAAAGGACTGTGTCCCTTCCTATATGTTTGTACAGTGCCAGACACATTTTCAGCACGACCATAATGTAAGTACTGAAAATAGGAACACCACTGGAAACGTGTCATGGAAATGTCTTCAATTGTCCCTCCAAATGGAGAGTTTTGTTCCACTATAACTTTAATGTGGGAAGATATGAGATTCTTGTGGTTGTATCTGAATTTATGCATTACACAATTTACTACTTTTCTTTTTAAGATGACATTGGCACATGTAGGTTAAATATTTTTAAATTTCTGAAATGAAATCCTTAAACCACATTTTTAGTTTTCTAGTGTAATTAGGTACACATTTGTCAGTATGATCTAAGCAGGTAAATATGTCTGGTTTTCCCTCAATTATCATAGAATAGACCTTTTTAAATATACACGCTACTTACTGTGATGGAGTTACTGGGCTGTCATTCTCCTCACTGCCTTTGAACGTCTGTATTTTACCATAGTACAGCGGATTACCAAGGGACTGAAAAATGGTCAGTTTTGTTTTCTGAAGTTGATTACCAACTTCACATTCAAACACATAATCATCTCTTATCTCCTAAAAGACAGAACGACATTATACGTAGAATCTTTTCAAAAACAAGTCAACAGAAAAGGCTGATCAATATATGTCAGAAGTCTACAAAATACAAATTGCAAGTAACACAATCTAGTAGTCCCTAAATGTCACTTTGCTCAGCTGGAATGGAAAATGATTTCCAGAAGAAATTCTCTAACTAACAGGATGGGAGAGATAAATAAGTTACTTAAAAAACAAGAAACATAGAGAACCCATAACTATTTATGATAGATATTGGAAGTGCAGACAGAAGAAACACATCTAAAAGTAGACACACAAGGTGGGTGAGGGAATATCTTTTATTGGACCAACTGTAAATGGTATTATCTCACCCACCTTGTCTCTCTGATATCCAGGGGCCAATAAGCTACAACACTGCAATATCTAAAAGTAGTTATATACACAACACAGAACAATGGTTGAATAGGATGCCATAGGGATGAAAATTACGTACTACAAGAAAAGCATACTGCCAAGATGGTAGATTTTTGGTAACATAAAGTAACCTACAAGGACAAAGAGATGGATGCTGAAGATAAAGAGGGCACAGTATGTTGGCGATTCCATTATGAAGTATCTATAAACTGGTTTCTAATTAACTTAAGCATTTTCTTGTGTATTGGATCATGCAATTTGCTGCTGATCTATAGGTTTCATTGGGACAGTGAAGGAAAAAAACCTGTAGAGCATTCTGCCTAAAATAGCTCTATGTGCTGATGTGCTACAGGGGTTAGACTAGATGACCCTTGTGGTCCCTTCTAACCCTATGATTCTATGACCTCCCTTCCAGAATCTACTGCAAGAGTTATTACTGTAAAGGCAGCTCTCCTGACTCACCCATTACATGAGGATTAGAAACAAGACAAAGGTGTACTGAAAGCAAGAAACACTGCTTCTTGTAAATTATTACATTTTTGTTACTACAGTAGTGGCAGCAGCTTCCCAAAGTCCTGCTATTATACAGGGAAATTACAGTACTTTGGCTAGCTGATTATTGCAATGTGGGTAGGCAGTTTTGGCAAAGCCAAAATTCCATTGCATCATACTCACACTACAAAACTGAGGTTAAGGACTGGAATTTAAGAGTAAATTATTTTTACTATTTTGTGTGCCAATGAGTAATAAATTACAGTTATTCTTTTAGTTTGATAATCACCCCAATGCACCAATGTGTGAAATCACACTTCCCCGTGACAATCTCCCTTCCAAATTTTTATAGAAGACTAGACTGTAGAAAAAAATGTTCTTTATGATCTCATTTACATTTTGTTGACAGAAGCAGCATCTTAACTAGGGGGAGAAAAGGTTGGCCAGAAGTCTAAATTACTCACATGTGCTGGCCAGACAGTAGGTTGAGAGTCATCAGGTTTGACAGACTTTTCCACTTTGGCATATTTTTCCACCTTAAAAGAAAAAGCAGATATCAGAATATAATGCATTTGAAACAAGTGTAGAGAAGAGCCTTAATGATTTCATACTTCTGTTACTTTGCTCTAATGCTTTCATTGAGGAATTCTCATAATCTTTAAATAGATTTAGCAGAGCTTTATTTAGCCGTGAAAAATCTATTGCCTAAGAGTGTGGCTCACATTGTGGAATAAGTGTGGGATCCCGTCACACTGAGAGTGAAGCAATTGCATTCTAGCAGCTGTTCCCAAAGGCACTGTGCCCAAACCCAGCACAACGTCCCAAAGACGGCCATCATTGCTCACTGCTTTATCATTTATCTTCCTGCTTGATACACAAAATGTTGAATAAGTGAAATTTTTACTGACCCAAATGTGGTTAGAAACAATTGAACTTACATCAACTTCAGAAGGTGCAGTCAAGTAGCAAGGGTTCTGTTTCCACATATCTACACACTGAGAGGTGGGGGGAAAGTACAAAACAATGTGAGCATCTGTATTCTAATGATTAACAATAAATAAATGAATAATGATGTTCGCCGTTCTAACTTGCAATATACTTACATTTCCAGCTTTAGAAATTTTGAGGTCATACTGCTGGGCTCCTTTCCTTTCCTTTCTTTTCTGTAAGTAGTCAAGTAGTCTGAGCTGAGGTGGAGTTGGATAATGTGCCACATCCTGCTGCCGATTCAGAGATGACCTGGAATATCTCTTGAAACACCTATGGCATATTGAGAAATGTGCTTGTAAAACAACAGACTGAAACATGCTACCACATGTGTGCTAATACACACATGAAAAAGCCAGTCACATTGTAACAAAAAGATGTGCTATGTAATATGCTTTTTAAATGGTCATCTTTTATGTTGTTGCATAACACATAATTGTGATCCATCTACTTTTAAACATGTTATTGTTCTTATGAGCAATATTTGTGGCAAATATTCTTGGAATAAAAATTTTGACAACAGTTAAAATATTACAAAAAATGTATTAAAAACTGAATATTGTTCAGATTTATTTCATCTTGCCAAATCTTTGTGCAAAGCCTACAAAAAGTTAAAATTACATTAAAAAATATGACAGCGCTGCCACTCTCTCCAGCCCAGACAGGATCCTTAGCTATGTTAGTATTATACCATACACTTGTAGATATAAAAGTTACTAATTACAATCATACTGAAGCTAGCATATGAATTTATTTAGCTAATCTCTGCATACCTGAGCACCTAATATCCATTTTGAGACCTACTTTGTTACATATTACATATTACTGAGCATACATATATGTATTTCTTAGTAAAATAACAGTGAACCATTTTAGGCTACTGTAAAATAGTTGTGAACACAACCATCCACAAAAAAGAAGCTATTCTAACAGATTGAATAGTAGTTTGGCACCACACTGCTCTTAAAACCATTCAGACGCTAATCCTCCAAACAATTATACACATGCTTAAATTTAAGCACATGAACAATTCCACTGGTTGTTTAAAATTAAACTTGTGCATAAATGTTTACAGGATCGAGACCTTCTGCATGACACTGATGCTCTAAGTTTGTTGAACCATTTAAGCAATAGAAAATCACATTAATTTTGCTGGATTTTATCCTGTTATATAGTTGAATATTTTTTCTAATTTATAAATTAAAGTCTGGTCATGAAAATAAGATCCCATGTTCATAAAATAAAACCCGTGAAACATTATCCTGGTGAACCACAGCCTTTAATTAATTTTTGGCAAAGTGCAAGGAAGGTTTAAGATAAAACATTTTTAACACCATATACTCATATTTAACATTGTTCACAGCTGCTGTCTGCCTCACCTCACATTTTGATTATAAGCCATGGAGAAAATATGGACATGATCATAAGAGAGCAATACAATTTGGTATTCATTCAGTATGGCATTGTAAGAAAATAATCCATGTGTATATATACACACACACACATTAAATATACATTTAATATATTAACAGCTGCAATTTAGTATAATCCATGGCTTACTAGGCCTTAGAGTATTTCCTATTTGGAAGAGATTGCAAAAGCATTACACAGAACAAGTACTTAATAAGATTCAGATTACAAATAATAACGGACACTGTTATAAGACAAACTTTTGACTTACCTTAAAAATATTTTTTCCAAGAGTCCTTCTTAAAACATTAATGTATTAAAAGTAAAATAAAAATTTCCGAAGAGTTTCAAAGCTTATTCAATTTAAATGAATTTTATCATGGTTATGAACAAACAACATGTTAGTGCATGATTTTTCTTATTTTTTCTATAATCTGTACAATTCTAAACAGGTTAATATATGTCCTGACATATCACAGACTAATTATTACCGTTTCATTGGGCGAGTGTTCATCTTCTGCTTGTTATAGAGGAGTCTGTTTGCTGTGCAGGTTACTGCTATCGAAGGATCAAGACACAAAGGCTCTGCTGTAGCTAAGATAAGTTGGCTCTCAAGTAGAAGTTTGTCTTCCTATAATATATGCAAATTATAATTATGTGAAAAAAACTGGAAGTTTTGTATATCTATATAGGCTTTTATTTCATGCTAATCATCATGGTATCTGACTGTGTGTATACATAAGCGCGCACAATTTGATAACTTTGTTTTGGATTGTTAACCCAGGAAAATATAATATTTATTGTTTAGGAATCATGGAATCATTATGCTCTATTGTAGATTGAGGAACTTCTAGATTTTTTTATAGCAAAAAAAGAAAGACACAAACACATACACACAAAATACAAGAAATAAGCAAATCAGTAGTCTGTCAATGATGTATCCTGATGAGGTGGCAGAGTTTTATTTTATCACAACTAATATATATGAGACAACAGATACTGGTTGTGGCAAAGAACTTGAATATGTCTGTGCTTCTCAGCAGATGTACTTTGCCACTAGTAATTTCTGATGTATTAAACCAACTAGAATTGCATAATCCTAGTCAGTTTCACTCTGCTATCAGTACCAGTGGGAAAGTGCTTCTACACAGGAGAGTAGTATAGTGTTATGGAGCCCTTCTTCAGATGCCAACCTGGGCCTACATGATGAAGATGATGGAGGGTGAGGAGGGTAGACTAGTTAGACTATCCTATATAATCAAAGATTAAAGTGCTGAGCATCTTCAACACCTATTGCCTTCTGTGGGAGTTGAGGGTGCTCATCATCTCGCAAGATCAGGCTGCTAGTGAGCTAATTTGGCACATCTCTGGATCATTAAACAGACTCTCAATCACCCTAAAACAATCCAGGGTCTGTACAATGTCAGTTTAATATATTTTTCAAAACTGCTTTGTTCCATCCTTTATATCATTGTAAGATTTAAATTGACAAGGAAACTCACCTGTGTCCATTTGTGGTTGTCACTTGTTATAGAATGCACATCACAAATTAAAGTCTGGAAAAACAGGCAAATTTTTGGTTACTTTTCAAATAAATACGATAATATAACTGTAATATATTTGTATATAAAGTATATAAAATATTTAAAAGTGATGGCTAATTTCTATTATGACATTTATCTTAAAGAGTGAGAAAAAGGAGATCCCACTCAGGGTAGTTTAAACCATTTAATTTGATGTACCTCTTACCTGCATTGTTGGACGCAGAAGAACATGTTTGCTTTGGTATGTTGGAGATTTCATATTACCAGACTGCCTGTAGTCACGTATTTCTGCTATGACACACCCACAATGAAAAATATTAACCTGTTTGAAACAAACAAAAATATTTCTGTAAATATATATATTATGGAATTGTCGCAGGACCCACCATTGGAATTGATTCTTTTGGCCACTCATGCAATGCTCTTATAGCTAGCTGTGAACTCCTGCTGTGTTTTCACTCTGTAAATATATATACCCCATCCAGACATAAAACCAAATTCATCCCTAGCACAGGATGGTGTCATTTCTGCTGAGGTCAGTGGGTGTTCTACAGTTGCTTCTGCTTGCATAATATGGTCCTTGTTGCTGTGCTTATTATTACAATAGCTAAACCAATAAAGAGTTCTAAACCACTAGGCATAGTCAAGTGTAGTGATCTTTAGTACACACCCAAACAGTTCCAACACCCAAGCTCCAAAAAAGCATATTAACGTTAAGACAGAAAACTTGACTACCTACCATTTATGAAATTCCAATCTCAAACATTTCACTAAAGCGCACTTTTCTGGTGCATAACAGCCATAGCGGTTTGTCATGTTAGACTAAACCATGGTAAAAACACAAAATGTGCATGAATTTATTTGTTTTGGATGCTAACAAGATGTTTTATTTTGGACACTAAAAGCATTATGACCCTGATGCTTCAAACTGCTCACTGCAGATGTACAGAACCCCCCGGGGGTGCCCTTCACATGATCAGAGACTGATTAAAAGAATAACCCTTAATTGTAAAGATTTTCTTACCTGAGATTTTTCTAAAAGATCAACCAAAATAGGTGGCAGCTCCTCTGCATCCAAATATTCAAGGAGTTCACCTTCCTCATAAGGCATTCGAATGGTCTCAGAATCTGAATTCAAAAAAAGAATGCAATGCCTTATCTATTTCTTCCCACTACAGCTTCAAAAGTAAAATGCTAATTATAAGCATATTAAAAAAAAGAAGTGGGGCTGTTGAAAACTATCCCAAATCCCAATTTTCTTTGCAGAATATCCATTATCATGCTTTTGACTGTATTTCCAAGCCATTTAATATTGGCTTTATCCTTCTCTCATTGCAGTAAATGGCAAAACTCTTATTTATCTCAGTAAGAGCAGAATTTGGCCCCAAAATGAGTTCTCTGTAAACCTAAACTACAGGGAGACAGGAAATGTCTCTTTCAGTATCAGCACGTAGAACTAATTCAGCAATAAATGATAGAAACGATTAAAAAACAAGCAAACTAGTGCAAACTAAAGTATTCATCCCTGATCCTGCAAACACTTATGCACATGCTTAACTTCAAGCACATAAGTAATCCCATTGGCTTCAATGAGACTACTCACGTACTGAAAGTTAACTATGTACATAAGTGTTTGCAGGATCGAGGGCTACATGTTTCAACAATAACACAGTCCCTATATAGACAAACTAAATTTCCTGTTTGTTGTAGGAAGTGCAGAAAGCTGCTTTCCAAATCTGTCTCACCTGATATTTGCCTTGAACTGTGTGACACAAACAACACAAAGTATTAAAGAAATTGCTAATTTATTTTTTAAGAAATCACCTAGAAATTGTCTATTATTTTATTGTATTTTACTGTAGAAATTTGTATTTAAATATCTTGTTTTCCCAAAGGGTGCACTACAATATGATTAATATTCTGAAGTTCCTGTTCCTGGCTAAAAGGTACAAAACAGCTTTAATTAGGCCTACATTTTCAGAAGTGACTAGTGATTTTGGGTACCTCAGTTTCTGAGTGTCCAACTTGATACAACTTAAAAGGGCTTGATTATCATGAAATACTGAGAGCCAGCCCTTTGAAAATCAGGACATTTTAGGTGTTTCAAATTGGGCACGTAAAATCACTAGTTACTTTTGAAAACGTTCCTCCTTAATTATAAGCACAGTGGGTACTACCACCTACGATTAAGGTTACCTGACATTTCCCATTTTCAGGCCCTTTTTTTAGCTCTTATAATTTTACCAAATTTAACTATATGGGCTGAAATTTCCTATGTTTTGTGTCTGCCTAAGGCTGATTTTTCCTAGAAAGTTTTTTTTAAAAATGGCTCAGTGAGATGAGGGAAAAATGAGATTAGAGAAAAAACTGTTGTTTTGCCCAAGTTAAAAAAAATTCTTACAACTGTTTCACTAAGAATCCCTAGTGCCTCTGTGCTTTGAAGCAGGGACTTGAAATTTGGAAGGGGCATTTGTTTTTGCTGTTCCCCTGGAAAAGTTCCCAAATTGGGCCAAGTTATAAAACTTCGGAAAAAAATTTAGTTCACACATACTCAGTAAAGCCTTAGTAGAATTTGGCAACTAAATGCTCTGAAGAGTCTATCTTGACTGGGCACATTCCAGCCCAGGGCTACATGGGCTGAGAAGATCTTCCCCTGCCATTGCTGCACCCAGCTGCTGTGGGCCGTCATAGCATCCAGCACAGAACAGACAGCTGGACACCTGTCTTTGCCAGCTGGTTGAGCATTGAGGGCACTGGATTCAGGCAGCATGTAGGAAGCAACTTAACTTGAGTGCAGAGGGGATGAATTGGAACTGAGTGTGGAGGAGTAGTGAAGGGAATAGATTGGGACAAGCAGCCCAGAGGAGGAAGGAAGATTAGGATGAGGAGCACAGAGAGGGAAGTGCCTGAGACTGGATGAGGAGCTGGGGGCAGCAGAGAGTGGGACTGCCTGGGCAAGGGACCTTGAATAGGGAGACCAGGGCCTGGCTAGGCAAAGAGACTTGGAAAGACTGGGACAAGAAGACTGGTAGGGGATGAAGGACTGGGATAGGCTGGATTTAAGTAGTAGAGGCCACACACCCTTGAAAAGGGATGAATTTGTCTCTGGATAAATAAATGTTATATACAGAAATAAGGACTATGCAGAGGGCTAAAGCTTGCTAATTTAGAATTTATTCCTATGCTCATATGAGCATCATCCATGATCAGGTGCTTGGACATTTTTAGTTCAAGAACAGAATTGTATAGAAGATTGCTTTAGAACAGAAACAAGCACCAAATGCAAGCAGCCAGCATGGCTCATACTGATTAATTAGCACTAATAAAGCACTTTGAAGATGAAAATAGTTAAGCAGCAGGAATATTACCTGATCCATTTTTCCCCCTGAGCATCAGCGAATAACCCTCATTCCCTGGATAGAGGTTCACTACCAGACATGACAACGTCTCCTGCATAACCAGCTTCTCAAGTAAGTTCACATTTCGCCTCAGCTTCTGCTTTAAAAGTAAAGTGTGCTCATGAAAATAATCAATAAAATCAAGTAATTAATAATATGACATTGACTAACCAAAATAAATAAATAAACCAAAAGGTGAAATTATTAGACAACACTGAACATAGTCTACCTCAGTGTCAAAGTATAGATTTAAAGAAGCCCAGTATTTAATTAAACACACAATAGGGTACATTCATGAATGAAAGTAATGCAAACTGCATACCTTAAAATAAAAAGAAGATTTGAGAAAAATCACTCATTTGGGTCTTTTTAATCCTTTTCACTCCTAGGTCCACAGTTAATATGGTTATAATCTAAGAATACCCCTAGGTTATAACCTCATAAAACCTACTCTGTACATTTATTTTATAAATTGTAAATTTAACCAACTGGCACTTTTTGATCAAAGAACAAACAGGCCTTCAGAAATTCTTAACAGCAAAAGTTTCCTTCCAGATTTACAGTATGACTGTAGAATCTGGAAGCTTTTCTAGTTGCATTGCCTTGCCTAAATTTGCTGAAATCTGGTTCAAGTGCCATAATAACTTTTCACTATTATTTGTAAGGAGGTTCCTGTTCACTAACAACAGTTTTAGATATGAATGGCTTATTTCTCTCTCTTCCCCACCCTGTGCCCACTACACTTTCAGCTATTCAAAGTCCTTGGCAACAAAAGAGTATTAATTTTGTAAGCCTGAGATTTCTCTTTTTCTCCTTCTATCTTCATTTTATGGTTGAAGGCTAAGGCTGGGCAGAGGTGCTGCTTAAATGAAATGCATCATGAGTCACATCAAGGGAGTAAACAAAAGTTTCACCACCATTGTCTTCTCCTACAAGGACCCAACACATCAGATGTGGGAGGATTGGGGGGGAAAAACATCAATGTGCTACCATTTTTTCTAGGGGAAATATTTCTGAGGCGAAAGGGAAAACAGACTGAGGAAGGAGTGTTGCTGCTAAGCCAAGAGGCTATTTTAACAGGGCTGCAGGAAGAATGGGGGGAAAACTGTGGATCTCACTCTGCCTAGCCCTGGGCTGACTGCCAGGAGCCTTTTCATGCCTCTCAAACTCATAAATGGTGGCAACAACTGCATGTTCCCCTATGTAATGCACTGGAGAGAGCCATGCAGGCAACAGCAGAGGAACAGATGAAACAGCATAGTGCTTCAGCTGCATGGAAAAGAGACAGGGAAGAAAGCAGCTCCTGCCAGCAGCAGGGCAAGGGGTTAGGCTGCTCAAGAGATTAGACTCTTCCCCTGTGGCACTAGAGACATAACCTGCCAGCAATGCAAACCTTACCATCTACCAGACTCGCATCACACCCCAGCCCCAAGTAGGAACAGCAGATTGCACATATATTGCTTCCACAGAAGCTCAGTGCTTACAGAATTGGGGATGAGGCTGCTATGCTTTCAGCTGAGTTGAGATTCTAAGAATGATGTAGGAGCACAAGGACTGTCCTACGGAAGCAACGAAATGGCACACTTCGTTTGTGTGCTTGAGAGGGAGATGTAACAGTCTCAACCCAACCCATTCACCTAGCTCAAGCAATGTTTTCCTTATGTGTAGTGCTTTGTTAAAAAAACTTTCCACAATCACAAGAACACCCATACTGGGTCACGTCCATGGTCCATCTAACCCAGTATCCTGTCTCTGACAGCAGATCAGCTTAGGATTGCTTCCCTTTGGGAGGAATTCTTATCAAATGTTGATCTTGTTTTCAAGAAAAGGTGTTTTCAGTATTAGATAATTATGTTCCTTTCATTCTTTACTATAGCTCAAGATTTCCAGTCACATGACAAGGCATTTTAACTTGAGAGCATTCACATTCTGCAGGACTAAACTCAGGAACAAAGTCTTTGCTGTCATTTAACAGAGATCAACAGGAAATGAATTTCAGATAATTGGATTTTATAATACTCAATACCACATAGTCTTTTATATATTGTCACAATGATCTAAAGCACCCAAAGTATAAACAAGATCTCCATCTCTGTGTTAAGGGAACATAATTCATTTTCTAATTCTGTTCTGGTGTGTAAATACCATGCAGCAGAGACTCAGTTCATCTAGTGAAAAGCACTATTTTATGCTAAGTGAGTAACTTCATCAACTGACCACTTCTGACAGAATTACTAAATGCAGGCAGAATTAGATACATAATTCACTTCAGAAGTGTATCTAAGAGTCCCACTAATAATGGAAAAAAGGGATCTATATTTTTAAGGGAGGGAGTTGTCCCCTAAGAAATGATGAGTACAATTATAATGGTAATTCCATTGTAAATCTAATTCAATTCAGCTAACCACATCAATTGTATGTGAATGACAAATTAATTTTATTTTTTCCAAATATATTCTTGCCAGTAAGTAGTTGTTCAGTTACATTTTCTTATCGTTTTCGGCCCTCTGAGGCTAAAATAAGAAGGTATTTTTGACATCAGGTTCAGATTATCCATTCTGGACTGAACTAAATAGTTCACTTTTGAAGCCTAAAGTGAGTTTGCAATACGAATTGGCGCTTGTAAGTACAAGATTTCAGAATCAGTTCCAGTAAAAACATCAATTTCTCCATTGAGTTGGCTGCTAGGAGTGCTGGCTCAAGCTGGTCCCAGTGGGCCCGCTGGCTGCTGCTGCTGCCAGATTGGGGGTAACAGGCCCTTTTCTGTTTTCCCCTGCCTACCTCCACTTGGCACTCAGCAAGAGCAGAGAGTGACAGCTTCATTGTGTTTGGTCCAAGGATGAGGGGTCACTGACAGCAGCAAGCAAGAGGTAGAGAGTTGCTTCTTTTCCCTCCCGTCTTTTGCCGGGGCCCAATAACTACTACATACTATAAAGGATAGCTACCCTTTTTCTGTCTCAAACCAAATCTAGGAGAAGTGGTGTTTATTTTTCCTATCCCTGTATTTTTGTACGTCTGTACTTCTCCTATCCCTGCCTAACAGTAAAGCCTTCACTCAAGTATTTTATTAGCATACCGGAACATCATTTGGAGACAAATAAGATTAATTCCAAGACTATCTGTTACTGTCCTTCTCCTGGACCCATACATAAATAATTTAAATGTACACTGTCAAAGTTTATTTTTATGACTGGTCAGCTCTCTTAACATGGCTAAAGTCAATGTTTCTGAAAAGCTGCTCTCACTGCTTATCAGGTGTCAGGTTATTTGGTAGTACGCACATATGGAAAAATGCTACTGCCATCCCTCTGAGGTCATGCTTCATTTTTTTCCTGGGCTGATAGTCACAGCTTTACAAAGACCAATTGGTACAATTACCATAACTAGAGGCTATTTCTGAAACACAAGGCTACCGCTTCACACCAAACACAGGCAAACTCCATCATGGACATTTTAGGTTCAGTAACGGGCCTAAAAAATCCTCTCTTTCAGTTTATCATGTTTAGAAAAATCTTTATATAAAGCCCAGCAAATTTATACCTGATTCTACTGGCAACAGAAATTAATAGCGTAAGATCTGCCCTGAATAGATGTGTAGTTATGTCATCCTCTGGACATACCACAATTTTAGTCCTGTCACTTTCTCAGCCTTGAAGACTAACCTTTTTTAGTGTCAAAAACCTACTGCAAAGCTATACTAAATGGCCTAGTCTGTTCCAGAGCTAATCAGGATGATAAACGAGAGAGGGCTGGATTATTTTCAGCAATCTGTTTTGTAGTTATACAAGTCAAAGAGACTGCTCATCACTTTTTAGTTTCATAGTGCAAAGGGCCTCCTAACCCTATGTTATCTTCTATACAGAAATGCAATCTCACTGATACATCTGCAAACATTTTTTGTATGGCTTATTATATACAAGATTTTAAAAACTTTATTAATACATGTTATTCAAGCAGTCATAATACTCAGCACTTATACAGCATTCTGAAACATCAATTATGCCTCATACAATGCCTGTGCATTTTTATATCTCTTCTACAGAAAGATAAAGATAAGGCAGAGCTGGCACTTGATTTCCCTACAGTCACACAAGTTAGTAACAGAAAGATGAGAATCCAACAGTTCCTAATAATTTTTTTGTGAAATTGCAGAAGACATTATGCAAAATATGAATTCATATTAACACAACTAATGAAATGCTCCAATTAAAATATGTAAATATTAACATATTTAAAGAGGTAAGGAGGACAGAACATAGAAAGAAAACCATAAGAGCATTTTTGTTTAAAAACTGATTCCTCGCAGGAGCTGTGCTTTGATCTATATCCCATAATAACTGAGAGCAGTATAATTAAGACAGAAAGCAATTTATAGGCCAGGACCTTTTCCATAAGTTTTTATAATCCTGGAATTCTTTTATGCACTCTGTATTCAAAAGTACTTCATTCAGGACACGCAGTTAATAATTTGTTTCCATTTTAATTATTTGACACATTTGTTTTATTTCTTCAGGTGGTGACAGAGATTTTCTTCTGTTCACAGAATGGAGATCTGAAGTCTTCATATAGCATCTTCCTTCCCAAAAATAAGTCACTTGTGTTGCTCTATATGAAGTCTACAGTTGGGGGGGAGAGTGGGGTGGAGGGTAGGGAATGGCTCAAAGTAGCTAAACCGAGAAGTTTGGAATTCTCCCTTGACTACATTTTAACTGGTTTTCCACTCTTGAAGAGACTACACGTCCAGAGACATTGTAAAAATATAGCATATATGCTCCAGTTCAGCCACAAATTATTGGGCTGAATACAGGAATTAATGAGGAATAGTCTGTGGCCTGTGTTATGCAGGAGGATTAGACTATACATTTCCCTTCTAGTCTTGAAAACTACTGATCAAAATGGCAGAAGAGTTTTATCTAGAGTTTTTATTTTCCTAAAGTAATCAAGATCTGATCCACAGACTATGAAGCATCCAGAGGCTATTTAGCATGGTAAATATGTATCTATTAATTACACTTACCGCTTCACTATAATATGCAGATTAGCCTTTTAAACTTCTGCTATCTCCATGATAAAAGTCTGTTTTCAAAGTTTAATTTATTC